CTTCTTGGTGTTGATATGGTTGGGTTGGTTGATAACGTAAAGCTTAAAAATGTGTTCAGTATATTTGGTTCTGTCCATCACAAACTTAAATTCCCATTGTTGGTAAATTGAAGGGATGATAGAACGATTTCGATGAGAGGATGACTTAGTTTGCTGCAGTTGTAGTAGTGAGTCCGGCTGCGTTGGTATTGGTGATGACCATGTTAAGTTGGAAACACATAATGAACATTTCACTTGTGTCACCAGCTATGAAACAATATAACCGCTTATGTAGTGCAAAATGTTTTGTACAAATTCAGAATATCCATTGTAGTCTATCAACTTCTTTACCATTCCATTCAATTGGTCGTCTAGTTCTTTGTCACTACCTTCACGGTTTTCTTTACCCAATGGTGATATATGTTTCTTTTGTACGGAAGATGGGAATCACCATATTATCCTCAAACATCTGATAATTTGCACCGGCTGATGCTGTTACAGTATTCCCAAGAAGCATCCTTCTGAAAGCACACTTCAGCTGGAGTGAATTTGGATTGTTGTTCGATGTGGTATTTGTACGTTAACACATACCGAGAAGAATCATCATGTTGAATAAGCATATTGCTTTACCATTTCAATGGTGGATTTGATGGTGATACCAAATCCAAAGACAAAAGTTCTTCGAGGATACTTGATGATGGGTACTCCTTCAAGAGATTTAAGACTTACAGTAGCAAGTACTTAGAAGTTGACTGTAATGTAGCTTGCCATTCACTCATATCAGTTAACGCGAGGGGTTTCTTGAAGTCCTTCCCATGAGGACTTCTTGAGTTCAGCAAGTCAAAAAACCTGTCGATGATCCTGATAAATAAGACTGTGGTTCGTTGTGTCGTAACTCTGGTAGTTTCAGAACAGTGTTCAAGAAATCCATTGCATCTGCCACTGAATCACTAAGGGTTTGGGCTGCAAGACTAACATTCATCTTATGCTTTTCAAATTGCACATAGTTGTTGGATAACTTGTAGAGATAACTTGTATTGTTACCAAGCTTTAATCCTTCTTGTTCTTGGACCAAATGAAGGCTGTTGAAGAATTTCCATTCGATTTGCTCACCATCAGGTGTGTAAATCGTGCCAAGAAATGCCAGAGCATTTCTGGCCAACTTTAGCATATGGCATGCATCCAGAATGACAAATACATCTTCACCTGTAACAGGATGTTTGAATTTAGTGGAGGTGGAATCGTGTGAATCACCAAAAGTACATCCAAGGATCTTGTAGGTACTGGTGTTCGTAGAAGTCCTGTCCGATGTCACACACCATACTTTGAGACCAGCAGCACTTGCTTTGTTAATACCGTGTTGACGAGAGATGATCGGGTGGCTGCAGAGGCTTTATCTGTTAAAAAGTACCCAATGGGGTGCTTGCAATGGCTTCGTAATCTTACCAATAAGAATACAAGTGCTTCAGAGGGAATGACTTCAGGTGCTTCTGAACTATGACCATAATCTACAAAACTACTGTACTTATTGTTGGCAGGCTCCCATAGAACTTGTTTGCGTATAGCCATTGCATCAAATACTAAACAGCAATCTTTCTTTTCAACATCCAACTTTGCTTCTTCCTCTAAAATGTGGAATGATTCAACGAGAAATCCTGGTTCACAGTTTATGTTGCTTTGCCCACTTTCAGATTAAAGATGGATGAGGGAATGATTAACCGTACATATGCATATACTTTCGGGGAATAAAAATTCAAAGCGAGAGTAAAATTTTTAATTAATGATACTGCTGTATCTTCTACTTCTTGATGACCCTTTTGAATTGTTTAATACGTGACAACCACTCGTGAGTATTTCAAAGACCTCAAACAGCACTCGTCCTTCGGACTCGTGGTATTTTGATGGTCTTTGAAAAACTCACTCGTGCATGGTTTTTTTCCAAATTGCACTCGAAACCATCCTATTACCTATACTAATAGTGTTACCTGTATCAACTAAAATATTTATGCTAAATCCCGTACATTTATTTTTCCTTTTTCTGCTTATTAATCAACCCGGTTTCTTACAAAACGTTTAAAAACCTCAACAAACCCTGTATGCATGGTACGCATATTAACATACCTGTTTTATTCCATTGACATTATTCGTTGATATTTTATCAAGATCACTGTCAATAAAACAGTTCACGTCATTTTGAAGTCGAACCCATGCATTTTGTAGTTTTTCTTGAGGGCTTTTACCAGGAATTCTGTCATATGTAGTCTAAAACGTAGTTTACGAAATAAACAGTAACTTATTAAAAATCCTTGTTACAAATTCCCTGTTGACCCAATTGCAGCCTAATGCATGATGAGATGAATTAAAAAAAGTCAACAGAAACTAATGGTAACGAGATAGATGGTAAAACCCACTTAACTGCTCTTTTGATGACTCAACTCATGGGCGTAGCCAGCCTCAAACGAGTGGGGGGGGGGGAGGAGTGGTCTAATCGGCCGCGCTATTTCACGCATTTTAGACACGTTTTATGATAATCTGAAAGCAACAGGTTTGGTATACTTCATGTCATAGATGAAAACATTACGAGGTTAGGCTCCGCCAGTTTCTCCTCAGATTTGAAATAATTAAAAAATTGGTCCTGAAGAAAAGTGTGGCGGTGGGGGGAGAAGGTCCGGACTTCCCTCACATTCCTCCCACAACTAAACGACCTGGTCATCAATTTAAAAATTTGATTCCACAGTATATTTACCGAGGTAGTTGTAGCTGTACTTGAGGAGGATCTGCTGGCAACGTCACTAGTTCCTTCGCCATCATTGTTAGAACTTGCTTGTTTTATTTGACCCAAGCAAATTTGTAATACTTGGCAGTCTTCCAGAACTTTGGTAAGGTTTGCAGATTGGGGATTATCGAACTTTTTGTCTCCCATAACGGATAACTGCAAAGTAGAAAAAGAAAACAACTACAGCAGTTATCAACTATCTATCACTTTGTTACAAACTATCACCAAGAAAGCAACTATTGATGACGGTAACAGACTTGCTACAAGTTGTTCCAACAAAGTTACTGTAATATAGGCTGTTCGTAACAAGTTGTTACGAGTTTGTTGTCATCAACTTGTTAACAATTACTTGATGCGTGCATGCAGACGATATCAGACTTGTTTGGAAGTCGAATCTGTTGGCCTCATCAACCTTGTCACAAGATGATAACAACTTGTCCACACTTGTCAACAACTGCATGGGAACAAACAGCGCAAACGCATCCTGTTGACAAGCTGTGAGATTTTTGTGCGTGTAGACCTGAAAGGTTGATGTATTTCTGATCATTTATCCAACCTTCGACAGCTTAACCAAACTACTGTATTTAGCGTCATAGCGATTGCAGGAAAGTAAATATACATTTCCTGAACATATGCATGGTTTCAAAATATACATGTACTTAATTTTCACTGGTTTAAGAAGTTGACTATAATTTCAGTTATAATTTACACGCGTTTGTCATATTAGTTGTAAACTTTAAGTGTACTGCAATTAGCAATAAAAGATCATGTAAACTGTACATGCCTTTACGTGTTTGCCTTCACATATTTGCTTGTGCAAACTGCGAAGAGGTAAGGTTTGCTCATTGCAAGTTAAGTTTCAAACTTAAGACACTCGTCCACATCGTTATCTGCCACACGTACAGTAAGCAACCAACAATTGAGGTAAATGCAAACTCGAAAGCTATTTAGTATAAAACACCTCAAAGTATTGAGTTATCGGACGCTCTCTGGTTAAAATATCACAAGATTTGACCGCCAGACTGCAGTCTTCAACGGGTCTGTGATATTTTGAACCACAGAGCGTTCAAAAACTCAATATTAATAATCCTGGTTTCGCCTCAAACATCTTTAAACCTCAAAGTGTGTGAAAATCTCGGCTGTACCTCGTTTATTCTATATTATATAAAGCAAAAGCGTGTTAAAAGAACTACAACTATACAAAGCTCTTACTGGTCTGAATCGTGATGGAGGTACAGGAACAACATTAAGGAAAAACATTTGAGGTGAAGATTTTCTCTTTGTAGCAGTAGGAGATGGATATGATCCAAGTAATGTATTCAACAGAACTTCTTCATTTTCCCACACTCGGCGTAGATGTTCTTGGACTTCTAGTGGCGTAATGTAGGTCTGCTGAACGCTCTTTACGATGTCTCCTTTTTCAGCTTGATCAACAGTTGGCGTTTCTGGTGGAATTTCTGCCGAGATTGGCGTTTTATCTGGAATGCAACAGGGAAATGTAAAACTATAAGGACTGAAAGATATATTAGTGTAGCCTAATTTCCTCTAGGTGAACTTTTCATTCTAAAGCCATTTTCCCCTATTTTGCATGCTATTCGCTGACGTGCATTTCACAGAAAATTCGCTTACAGGAAAGCTGAGTATTGTACATGTACTGTATACCATTCTGTGAAAGGAGATAGAGCGAACAACTTATTGGAACGCTAGGTAAAAATTGTGATACCAAATGCATTTCCAGGAATTAATCAGGAGTTAGACCAAGCAACACAAGGTGTAACACATTAATTTTTTCAATGACAATAGTGAGCATTTTTCGTCGTCAACCATTGCAATGATCATGTATAGACCAGGGGCGGCGCTAACTCTCTTCGAGTGGGGGGGGGGGGGGGGGGGTGAGTGATCTTTTGACGACTGTTTGGTAATTTTGCCGATTGTTTGGTAATTTTGCCTATTAGTTATAGTAAAAGTTGCATGTTTAAAATGCGCTATATTACCTTATTACCCTCTATTAAGCCGGTTTTCCACTAGTCAATTTTTCGCCGCGAAGTGACCTTTTTCCTTTGTCGGCATCAATTTTGCCACATCTTGCTGACGTAATAAGTTATACCGACAAAGGAAAAAGGCAACCTCGTTCCCAGGGTATTCGCTCTTTCCCTGGGAACGAGGTTGGGAAAAAGGTCGCTTAGCGCGAGAAAATTCGCTTGTGGAAAACCAACTTTATTGCCTCTTTTATAGAACAGTAATAAGCAACAACAACAACAACAACAACAACAACAACAACAACAACAACAACAACAACAACAACAACAGCAACAGCAACAGCAACAGCAACAGCAACAGCAACAACAACAACAACAACAGCAACAGCAACAGCAACAGCAACAACAGCAACAGCAACAGCAACAACAGCAACAACAGCAACAACAGCAACAACAGCAACAACAGCAACAGCAACAACAGCAACAACAGCAACAACAACAACAACAACAACAACAACAACAACAACAACAACAACAACAACAACAACAACAACAACAACAACAACAACAACAACAATGATGGAACAAAATTGCATATATCAACAATACAATTATATTGATTCCAACATTCCTCAAGCCTGGTTCACATATGCCTGCGGTATGCCTGCGACTGTATCATTATGCCTCTACTTGCCGCCGAAATACCGGCAAAGTTGAGCTCAAGTCAACTTTCCCGGCCTACAGCCGATGTAACTGTGGCACTGGAGGCAATCAGCATCGTCGCCGGTACGACGCAGGCACGTCGCAGGCATATATGTGAACCAGGCTTCAGTCCCATCTCATCCCATCAGTTAAATCATGTTTCATCCCAAGATATGTCGAAGATGTCGGATTCACACAATCCCATGCATGCAGTATTTTGTCTGATTGATTGATTGATTATGATGATTCAATTATATTCCTCAGTCCCATCTCATAGTTGGTTGATTAAACACGTCAATTGAACAGTTTGTTAATTGATTGATTGATTTAATTATTTAGTCGTTTTCCGTTTAGTAAACTTTACTGTTCAGTAAACTTAACTAATTTATCGAATATTTATTAAGGATCCGCAGTAATTGGCCGTAGCTCTTGTGGAAATCCTGCCCTGATTTATACAGCATATATAAGTAATTTGATGGGGTTTTTAAATAAGTTAGATAAATAAATAAAAATAAGTATACAGTATATACCGTACATACTTAATTACGGTTTTGAATACTTTGGGCTTGGAAAGATCATATGGTACCAGTGAAGTAAATTGCGCAATGTCGGAAATTAGTCCACTAGGAACTTTGCCCGGGGTGATGTAATTCCGGGGACGAATGTAACGAACACGTTGTTGATCGAAAACCTTAGCGAAGCGTGAACTACATATCAGATTAT